CAACCTCAAACTCCTGGGCTGGAGCAATCCTACTGCCTCGGCCTCCCGAGTACCTGGGACTACAGACATGAGCCACCATGCCCGGCTAATTTTTTGTATATAGATTTTTAGTTGTCCTAATAGTTTCTTTCTACTTTTAGTAGAGACGTGGTCTCGCTCTTGCTCAGGCTGGTCTCGGAACTCCTGACCTTGAGCAATCCACCCGCCTCGGCCTCCCAGAGTGCTAGGATTTCAGGTGTGAGCCACCCTGCCTGGCCTCTTTTACTTTTTTATAGCTTTCTTCTCACCGTTACACATCATTTCTGTTGATCGATTTGTCACCTTTCACACGTATGAGTCTTGTTTTCTTTGGTTTTGGTTTTTGTATTCCTTCTTTCTTTCTTTCTTTGTTTCTTTCCTTCTTTGTGTCTTTCTTTCTTACACATGGTTTTGCTTTGTCACCTGGGGTAGTGTTCAGTAGTATTATCATAACACATTGCAACCTGAACCTCCTTGGCAGTAGCAATCCTCCTGCCTCAGCCTTCCAATTAGCTATGTCTACTGGTGCACGCCACCACACCCAGCTATTTTTATTTTTCTATTTATTTTCTATTTATTTTATTTTTCTATTTTTATTAGAAACAGGGTCTCACTCTTGCTCAGGCTGGTCTTGAACTCGTGGCCTCAAGCAATCCTCCTGCTTTGGCCTCCCAATCTTGGTAGCCCTTGTTTCCTTACTCCCTGCTATTTCTCCTGCTCTTCTTATAATCCCCTTGGGATGGAATTGGCATCTGAGGGGTCTCTTTTGCTGCATCATCATCTGGTCCATCCCCCTCGTCTGCTCAATGCTGAATTTTGAGACCTGGAATGGGATCCAGTGTTTTTGTCCCTTGGGCTTCCGTGCTGACTGTTGTGAATTCTGTCTCTCCACAGGGAACTGCCAGGATGGGACAACATGGAACGGAGAAGAGTGTGTCTGTCCCCAAGGATACTTTGGTTACCAGTGCCTGACCCCCTTGGAATCCTTCTTAATAGGTAAGGACTTTTTCTGAGACCTGCAGCTCTTCCCAGTCCCACTGACCACTTAAAATAGGCTGGCAGTATTGGAAGGATTAGCCTCCAAGGCCTTCCTGTGTGTGTGGAGGAGACGATGTGACTTTCCCTAGGCCACACCACAGGTAGAACAAGGACCTTTTGTCTCCACATTTGGGGCCCTTTTCACTAGCTCACCTGCCCCTCTCACGGAGGGTTTCTATGCCCACCCTGCCTAGTTCTCTCCTCCATCCTGGCCACTAGCTCCTCATGGTTTGAGAGACAAGGGACAGAAGTCTCAGTGACCCCCACCTTCCTCTTGAGTTTGCATCCTCTCTCCTACACACCTCCTTCACCCCAGACACCAACAGGCAGAGAATTTAATAATCCCAGGGGACATTATGGAGAGGCTGCTGTGTCATGCATAGTGTGACCTGTTCCCACAGAGGTCCCGGGAAAGATCAACGCCACTTTAGGTGTGATAGTGAAAGTGTTGTACAGGATTTTCACGGAAGACCTGAATAACACAGCTTCCGAGGCATACTCGAATTTTGTTGAACTATTCAAGAAAGAGGTAAGAGCGGGGACTGCCTGGACTCCCCACGGTGATGTCCCACGTAAGAGGGGATGTAGTGGCTCATCCTGACTTACTGATCAGAGCTCATAAACTCTTGGCGCCACTCAATCTCCCTAAGTCCAGAGAGGGGGTCCTCTGAGAGTGTCCATCCTTGAGTCCCATGCACCCACCCACATCCCGGCAGAGGGAGCTTCCTATGGGCTCATACATGGGCGGCATGGGGGAGCCCGGGACTGCCCCAAGGTGGGGACCAGGGGCTTCTGCATGCTCCAGCCCTGTGTGAGCTCAGCCACCTCATTTTTTTTTCAGATGGATAACATTTACTCAGGTGACGACCTTCCTGAGTATAAAGGTGTCATCGTAAGGGAACTTTCGTGAGTATGAGGGGGGCAGGTATATGGGGCCTCCCTGTCTATCTCTGCTCTCCTGCCTCCTCCCACCATGAATGATTAGAGTATCAGTACCTGGCTAGGCCAGAGGGGCCCCCAGCTTCTAGGCAAAACCCGAGGGCCCTAAGATCATTCATTCATTCATCATTCAGTCACTCAACAAACATTTGTGAAAAGCCAGCCCTCTGCTAGATGCCGGGAACACAGTAGTCCCAGCCCTCCTGGAGCTCAGAGTGGTAAAACACGGATCACAAAGTGGCTGTGCATTCTGGTTAGGGTTATGGTAAGGGACACACAAGGGGCAGGAGGAGGGCTCCCGAAAGGAAGCTTTGTGAGGCGGATGGAATTCTTCCCAGAAGGGGTGACAATTGAGCTGAGGCTTGACGGATGAGGAGGAATGAGGCAGGGAGAGGGAAGGGAGGGAGAGCGATTACAGCAGTGGGAATCAGTGACAAAGAGCCCAGAGGTGAGAAAGAGGAGGGCAAAGTCCAGGAACCTACAGAGATTGCTCAGAGCAGCTGGCAGCTTGAGGGCAAAGGGCGGATGACGGACAGAAGGACGGAACCTTGGCTCTTGCCAAGTTAGACTTCAGGCATCAACAGTGTAGCCGACGGTTTAGGGATTACCTCTGATGTGCAGTGTAGATAGCTCAGTCTGGCTGCAGGGTACAGAAGGTGTGGGCAGCGATCTACAAGAGAGGGGACAGTGCAGGAGAAGAGGAGTCCAGTGTGAAAGGTCTTTGGGAGGCAGGAACAGGGGATTATGGGGATTTGTGTGAGGGAGGAGAAGAGGAGCGATGGCAGATTTCTGGGCTGCTAGCGGCATGGGGTGCCCTGTGCGGGACTGAGGGACGTGAAGAGACATAGGATGGGGGAAGGAGATGACGACCTCGGTATGGGCCAAGCTCCAAGTGCCTGGGACCCCGCCACGTGGAGTATGTGCTTTGAGGGTCTCAGGGGAGACACAGGCATTGGTACCCCGATGGATGTGGCTGGAAGCCCTGGAGTGAATGAGATGGCCTGGGGTGGTCATGGCACAGGGCTGAGGGTCTCCCAGGGAAGAAATTGGAAGGCACCAGCAAGTGAGCAGTAGGCAGGGCCCCAGTGGAGAGTGGAAAGAGGCAGACAGAGGTGGGATGTGGGCCCCAAGGGTGTCATGTCTCAGCAGTGGGGAAGACAAGGTTTCAAGAAGGAGGGAGGGAGCACCACACTGCCAAGGGTCCCCTCTGTCCCCACCTCACCCCACCCCCACCATCAGCACCCTGGTCTCCATTTCCATCTGGCTCAGGATTTTGCTGGTTTAAGTGCTCCTGAGTCCTGCCACTGACTTCTCTTTTGAAACGATGGTGACAGGTGACTTCCCTTATTTCAAGACCTCTCTCCTCCCTAGTGTCACTGGCTGTCCAAGAAGTTTCTAGGTTGGAATCCTACATTCCTAACATGACCTCACGTTTCTTCATTTTTTTTTTTGTTTATTTGCTTTTCAAAATATAATCTAAGTGCCTCTACTTTTTATTTAAAATTTTTTATTGTGGTAAAATACCCATAACATGAAATTTACCATTTCAATCAATTTTAACTGCCTAGTTCAGTAGCATTAAATACCTTCATGTGGTTGTGTAACTATTACTATCATCCATCTCCAGAACATTATCATCTTGCAAAACTGAAACTTGGTCCCCCTTAAACGCTAGCTGTCCATCACCCCCTCCCCAGCCTCCTGGCACCCGCCATTCTACTCTGTCTCTATGAATTCGACTACTCTAGGAACATTATATAAGTGAAATCACACAGTGTTTGTTCTTTTATGACTGCCTTATTTCACTTAGCATAATGTCCTCAATGTTGCAACACGTATCAGAATTTCCTTCCTTCTTAAGGCTGAATAATATTCCAGTGTATGGATAGACCACGTTGTGTGTATCCATTCATCTGTTGGGTGGCTTCCACCTTTCAGCCATTGTTAATAATGCTGCTGTGAAAGTGGATCTGCAAAGACCTCTTTAAGACCCCGCTTTCAATTCTTTCGCCCCAAAGTGGAATTGCTTGATCATATGGTAATTCTACTTTTAACTTTTTGGGGAACGTCCAGACTGTTTTCCACAGTGGCTGCACCATATTCCATTCCCACCCACAGGGCACAAGGGTTCCCGTTTCTCTACACCCTCGAGCAAGAGCCTCTATTTTTACAGAAATGTATTTCACCAGTGGGCATTTGTTGTGGTCACTGATATTTCGGGATCTTAAATTGTTTTGCTCTACTGACTCCTTCTGGGTCCTTAGCTGTGGAAGGGAGGGTCTGGATTTTTTCCTACCTCTAGGCCACGTGGCCGCTGCGTGAGCCCCAGTTGCTGGGTGGGTGGGTGACATGCAATAACTAACCGATTGCACAATTCCCACCTCCAGCAACGGCAGCATTGTGGTGAAATATGACGTCGTCCTGGAGGCAAACTACACTGCACAGTATAGGGAACTGTTTGCAAACCTCGTTGATATTGCAACAGCCAAGATTGTGACTGCAACCAAAACTATTCCTGATGCTATTGACTTGTGCCAAGGTGGGCCCACCTAAAACCCCTCACATGGGTGGGAAGGCAGGTCTTGGCCTCCCCCTCCATCCCCATCTCTCCTTTCTTCTGGAACACCCAAGACTTCTGCTGGAGGAATCCAGAAACCAGGACCGGGGACTTCCCCAGACCCTGTGCTGCTCCCATTCCCAGGCTGAGGTTGTCACCAACCTTCATGTCCCCATTCAAGCCTGGGAATAGCCGCATGTCTAGGATGGGCCAAGACCCCACTCACGCTGGCCCAGAGAAAGGTGTGGGATAGAAAGCCAGGGAGTCCCAGCTAGCCCCAGGGAGACAGAGGGGAGCATTTCTGTCCTGTTTTCCTTCCCACCCAACCTTGGCAGAATCCATACTGTGCTACAGTGAGAACGACACTTCCGTGGATAAGGCCGTGCAGCTAGGCTTCGACTTCCAGGGTAAGCAGCCGTGAGGAGCGTGGGTGGTGAACGTGGGGGCTGGGGTGCTTTATCCTGGCTGAGGCTTGCTATACGCCCCTCACCCCAGAGCAATGCACCCAGAATGCTGCCGAGGAGTTTGCGCAGTTCTACTATGTGGATGTACTGAATGGGGAGCTGGCCTGTGTGACCAACTGCACCTCAGGGACACAGTCGCAACTGGACTGTCACGGGGGTGCATGCCAGCTGCAGCGCAGCGGCCCCCGCTGCCTGTGAGTGCCCCCCCAAGCCCAGCGCCCACCCTCTCCTGGTGGTAGGGCCCTCCCCCTCTCCCACAGTCACCCATGGGGTGGGGGGTTGGGTAGAGCTTGGAAGGCGCCTCCTCCCCCATCTTGCATATCCCTCTTCCCTCTGCCTGGGTCTCCCATCACCCGCCAGCCCCCGAGAGTGAGGGGTAGGCGCAGATTACGGGTGCAGACATCCTAGATTAAGTCCCTCCCTGAAAAAGTTCGTGCGTCGATTTCCAAGTCTCTCTATCTCTCTCTCTTTATCTCAATCTCTATCTCTATCATCAATTTCCCTTACGTTATCTGAGCCATGGCGCCATTATCACCTCTAGCTGTAGCCAAGGTACCAAGTCCCCGAGGCCATAAATTAAAGTACAAAATATAAGACGTGAAAACAGGCCCATCTAGGTGCCAGCTGCTTAGAGATTAGACGGGTAAACATCATGTGTCTGGAACGAGGCACCCCAAACCCTAAGACCCCTCTGAGCACTAGTCATTCCAAATTCCTGTTCTGCAGTCCTGGGTCCCCATCAGCCTTGGGGAGTCAGGGACCCATGCTCCCCAGGTGCCGAGTGCCAGCCCTCAGAGGCAGGGAGAGCTGGTTTCCTGTGCTTTGGACATTGGTTTTTGCTTTGGGGACACTGGCTGTGAGTATTGCCAGTGCGCCAGCCTGAGCCTGCCTGTGTCCCCAGGTGCCCGAAATCGAACACGCACTGGTACTGGGGAGAGACCTGTGAGTTTAGCACCAGCAAGAGCCTCGTGTACGGGGTTGTGGGGGCCGTGGTGGCCGTGCTGTTGGTCGCAGTGGTCGTCCTGATTGTCTTCCTTGGCCTATCCCAGAGAAAACTGCACAGGTGAGCTTGTGGGGCCAGCACCATGGGCCCAGAGAGAGGTGACAGATGTGGAGCAGGAACCCAGGGCGGCCACCAGCTGAACATCCTGAGCCTCTGATCCTTCCAGCCCGGCAGCCAGGGAGGTCAGCTGGGGCCAGGCAGGGTGCCCAGCCCCACCCAGCTCTGGGTACAGCAAAGAGCAGCCTCTGATATGATATGTCCATTTGGCACAGTGTTGTAGTCATTTTGTGCTACCGTAACAGAATACCACCCATCGGGTATTTATAAACAACAGAAGTTTATTTGGCTCATAGTTCCAGGGGCTAGGAAGTTGGAGATCGCGGGCCTGCATCTGGCGGGGGCCTGCATCTGGTGGGGGCCTTCTTGCTGCATCATAACATGGGGGAAGGGAGAGAGAGAGGAAGGGAGGCCTGAACTCACTTTTACAGCAACCCATTCTTTCAGTAACAATGTTAATCCGGTTGAGAGGGCCAAGCCCTCAAGACCTAATCACCTGGGCAAAGGCCCCACCTCTCAGCACTGTTGCATTGGGGATTTGGGATACATTCCAACTGTAGCATGGAGAAAGGAAACAGAAACTTACGTACTGAAATTAGCTTATGTGATGAAATTGCCTGTGGTTTATTACCCGCAGAAGAGCACCACCAGGCTAGGAGGCTGGGAAAGGGCCATCCGGGTCTGGCTTTTCCCAGCTGTCAGTGGGGTAAGGTGCACCTGCCAAGGTTGCCGTGAAACACCTGGCAATGTACCCGGCCCGTGGTTGGCGGTTGAAGGGAGCTACCCTGATTTTAGTCCAATGCCCCCATCTCACAGATAAGGGAACTGAGGCAAACTGAAGGGAGTGAGGGGCAGCGGGGTCGGGGGTGGCCATGGTGATGTTGCTCTTTGTCCTCTGCCACCATGGCCGCTGAGGGGACGGTCCTCTCTGGCTCAGGGCTGTAGCTGTGATGGTCCCCTCGAGAGAGCCCAGTCCTCAGCCTCCTTGCCTCCAGCTGCTCACGGCATTTCTGTTGGCAGGCAGAAGTACGATGCGTCTCCAGACTGGAAAAGAGAAGATGTTGCTGGCACCTTCCAGAACACAGACATCTGGGAAGGTACTTCTCATTAGAGCAAGGGGGTGAGCAAAGCTGGAGGATGGAGGAAGGCAGGGAGGCTCCCATGGCTGCAGGGGTGACACAGCTGGGGCTGGGGGTGACAGCCCGTTCCACATCTGCTGCTGCAGCCAGGTCTGTGCACCCCTTCTGCAGCCCCCAACCCATACACTCCCCCATGTGCAGGGGGCAGGGGTGGCCAAGGATCAGATCCTGCCCTAAGAGACCACCCCGGTGAGGGCATCAGACGAGCTAAGCGGGATGAGAGGGCCACTTGAGCACAGAAGGGAGCCTGACCCAGCCTGGGTGGGGTGGGGTCAGAAAAGGGCTGAGCTGATTCTAGGGCAGGTGAGTAAGCAGGTGCGCTTCCTGCTGTCACACGCCCAGCAAGGAGGGAGGAGCAGGGAAAGGCGGCCTAGGTGGGGGTGCTGCATGGACACGGTCTGGAGGGGGGATGCACTCGCCTGTGGGGGGACTAGAGGCAGGTTGGTCTCACCAAGAAAGAGGAAGCTGAGGGCCGCGAGGCTGGCAGGGCCTGGCTGTGGAGGACTGTGAGGGCTGGAATGGGGTCGGGGTACCCACTGGGTGGCTTTGAGTCGCTCATTCAGGTGGATTTGAGGCTGAGGGGCCGGGCGGGGGTTGGGGGGAGAGGAGGACAGCCTGGTGCGGTTTGGAGATGAGCCCGGTGGGGCTGGGGAGGCAGGAGTGAGGGGGGATTCTGGGTGTTTGAGCTGCCCCTGGGATCCCCGAATGGGGGAGAAGCAGCAGGTGGGGACACACTTAGTTGGAGGGTGGCATTTGCTCTGAAGCCTGGGCAGAAGTCTGTGGCCTGAGGGAACCTGGGAATCGTCAGCTCAGCCCATGGGGGTCTGGACCCACTGTGAGGAGGGTGAGAGGTGGCCCGGGAGCCACCGCAGAAGCAGGCAGACCTCGAGGGAGGCAGATGCAGGGTCCGTAGGAGCAGGAAGTGAGCGCTGAGCTCCGGGGAAGGTGATGGAAGGAAGATTCCAGGCACAGCTGCTCTGTGCTGTGGTTACCGTTGCCAGGAGGGAGTGTGGCCTTGCTGAGTCCTGCCCCACCCTGACCATCACCTGCCACGCACACACAGGCCTTCACCCACACTGGGTGGCTGTGGCTTTCAACCCCGTGGCATGTTGGGGGAGGGCTGCCACTCCGCCCCCTCCTGTGCCTGGGGCCGGCTCCCCGGCAGGCCTCAGCACCCCAGAAATAAGCTGTAGTGGAGGAGGCAGCGGGAACCCTGCTCCTCCACTGGAAGAGGCCCCCTGTGCTCCAGCCGCCGCAGGCTTCGTCAATCCTGTACCCGCCTCTCCCCACAGAGGACAATCTGAAGGAGGACAGATATAGCCTTGAGAACACCTACAGACACTTCCAGCCCTCCCTGGGGACCATAGATCCTGCCACAGAGGTGACTTGCCTGGGAGCTTCCCCCCCTCCCCAGAGCTTCCCCCGGGGCTTCCTCCTCCCCGGGGACTCCCCCATCGGCTCCTGTTGGCCTCACCTCTTCTCTCCCACCCTCCAGCTCCACATCAACAGGCCCAAAGTGGTGATGCCCACTCGGTGAGGCAGCAGGGCCCCCCCTCATCGAGATCTGGACAAGAGAGGGCAGAGAGCCCCCCACAGGCCCCCCGCTGGTCAAGAGGAAACTGAAACCAGGCCCTGAAGCTGCCCTGCTCAGAGCTACCAGACATGGCAGGTCCTGCCAGCACCCACCAGGAGGGGTGGGGGCTGTGAGCACCCCATCCAGGCGCCCCAAGACTCCCGGACATCTTGGTATCCTCAATTGCTCCTTGGTGACTCCCTGTTCTGGAATTTCCCTACCAATAAAAGCAAATCTTAAAGTGCAGAATATGAAGTGAGAGGTTTCCTTCCCCCCACCGCAGTCTGGGGGATCTGTAGGGTAGGCGGATGCTGCCCTTCCTGGGGAGAGCATCCTTCCCAGGGACGGGTGCCAAATCTGGGCCCCTTCCCTGCTCCAGCCAGGCAGCGCCAGGCCCACCTCTGCCTCTGTGGCAGACAAGCCCATGGTCAGGTCCTGGGGGCAGGAGTGGACCGTAAGCCCAAGGAGTGAGGGGTGGGAACCCCCTGATGACCAAGGAATGAGCGCTTGACTCTGCTGACCCTGGGCAGGGCAGGGTCACCCCAGATCGCCACAGGGGGCTGTGCTTTCTCTGAACTCACAGACCCAAGAACTCCTAGCCATCCCAGGTTGGGCACTGGCCCAGGTGTGGCCACAACCTGCATCCCATGTCCTGGTGGGGTACCTATAGGACAATAGGAAGGGCTTGAAAAGAGGGATAGGGGCATCTCCTTGCACGGGCTGGGGCCAAACGCAGGGTGCCCTTCTCCTCTCATGCTAGGGCCCGGCCCCTCTCGTCCACCTCTCACCTCCCTCTGGGGGTCTCCTGCATTCTCCCAGGCTGCTGCTGGCCCCGCGCGCCTGTCTTTTGGGGTGATAAGGCTGATGGCTCACATGCCTGTGTGCTACCAGGGAGGGGCTCCTCCTCCCTCTGCCCTTTGGCCTGGAGCGGGCTCTGCACCTTCAGTCTCCCCAACTGACTCAGGTCCAGGCTGGCCCCCAATCCCCTGTGTCAGGGACCAAAGGTCTCCGGGGCCCATTTATTTCTGAGTTTCCCTGGCTGACGTCCATTCTGCGGGCTCCCAGGAGAGCGAAGCTCGGATGCTGAGGCTGGCGACGGTGGCGCTGTGCCTGCTGGCCCTCATCCTCCAGCTCCCGAGCCCCCACGCTGCAGCTGAGCAGGGTGAGTGACCCCAACGCAGGGAAGGGCTGCCTCCCGGGCACTGTTGGGGGCCCCCCTAGAGCATATCCTTACACCTGGACTTCTCTCCTCTCCCCACGAGCTCTGGAGGAAAAGCCAGGTCTTTGGAGCCTCTAGGTCAGTTCAGCGAGCCTCAGATTCCTCTCCAGAAAGGAGGAATAATAACGCCTACTTGTCAGGGCTGCTGCCGGGGTGAAATGGAACCCCCCAGGTTGATCCCAGGCACACAACAGATGTCAGCCGATGTGAGGGTCTGTCTGTAAGGGATGTTCCCGTCGACTCTCTCTCACCCCACACCCCTGTACCAGTACCCGGGGTCTTCCTTACATGACGCAGACACCCGCCTTACAGCCCCCTCCCTCCAACTCTTGTTCTGGCTGGTCCTGCCTCAGCCCACCCCTGCCTTGTTCCCCGCGGATGTCACAGGGCTGTAGCCAAATTGGCACAAGATGTGGTTTCAGGAGCCCCAGGTTCTAATCCCGCTGTGAACCAGCTGTGCGCCGTGGGGCCACTCGGTGCACCTCTGGCCCCAGTTTCTCCTCTGAAAAGACAAAGATTGGGGCCTCTGAGGATCCTCCCATCTCAGCTGCTTTGGGCTCCATGGCCACAGGGGACGAGGCTCAGGTCAGCAGGAGGTGACAGTGGGTCCTGGAAGGACCCTCTGAGAGCTACACCCTGCCCCTCACCTGTCCCCAGAGAAGGAGGGAGGGGTACCAAGGCAGACAACGTAGCTGTGGGCCTCAGGATTCCCCCCCTGAGATGTCACCCATACGGGGATGTCATCCAGACACTTCTGGCCTAGGAATGGTTAAAAAAAATACCTGTGATTCCTGCACTTTCTTTTTTTTGTTGTTTTTGTTTTGAGACAGTCTCGCTCTGTCTGCCAGGCTAGAGTGCAGTGTCGGCATCATAGCTCACAGCAACCTCAAACTCCTGGGCTCAAGTGATCCTCCTGCTTCAGCCTCCCCAGTAGCTGGGACTACAGGCACAGGCCATCACGCCCAGCTTATTTTTCTTTTCTTCTGTTTTTAGTAGAGACAAGGTCTCACTCTTGCTCAGGCTGGTCTCAAACACCTGAGCTCAAGCGATCCTCACACCTCAGGCTCCCAGAGTGCTAGGATTACAGGCGCGAGCCACCGCACCAAGCCATTTCTTGCACTTTCTATGCTCCCAGACCCTTGGTCATGCATCTCTTATAGCGGCACTTTAGACAACACCATGGGCCTTAGTAGCAGAGGATATTCCTGCTTCCTCCCATCCCTCCACCCCCCTCTCCTCTCCTTTCTTTCCCTCTGCTTCTTTCTTCCTTCTCACTTCTTTGCTTCCTTCTTCTCCCCTCCTCTTCCTTACCCCCTCCTGGCCTCCCCCACATTTTGCATGCTGTGGCTCATGTCATCTCTAGCTTCAGTCTCCCCCTCTGTAAAATGGGAGCGTCCAGACTCTCTGCTCCTGCTCTTCAAGATTCTGTGGGTCCCTCCTCCACTGGCAGGGTCTCCAGGGCCCTGGCCAGCTCTGTGTGGCCTCTGACCCTTCCATATCCCCTCTGGGGACCCAGAGCCCCTCCTTGGGCCACAGAGTTGGGGATGCCAGGACAGGGTGTGGGTCTAGAGAAAGAGCCTAATTGCCCTTCCCAGTAGACACACCCTCTCATCTTACAGCTCACCTGGTTATATTGCATATCAGCAAAACATAATGTCCTCTCTGCTGGCCTGGCCCTATCCTGCCTTGGCATATGCCCTCTCACCCCCATACCTGAGTGAATGTGACCACAGCCAGGGAGCTAAGTCACCTGTCCACAGCATGTGTCCCTCTGCCCTCCCCCCCATACCTGGCCGGGTGCTTTCACCCACCCTGTGTTTCCACCCTGTCACACGCCCTCCTCCTGGACAGTCTGAGGAACACATGTCGAGTGCTCACCGCTGTCCCCTCAACAAGACCCACCTCCTCCTAGGAGCCTTCCCAGGAAGCTCCACTAACTCCTCACTCCTCAAACCCATCCCTGCAACCTCACAGGGGACCAGTAAGAAACTGCACTTTCTCCCTGGGGCTGTCATAATAAGGTATCACTCCCTGGGTGGCTTGGAACAACAGAAATGTGTTGTCTCACCGTTCTGGAGGCCAGAAGTCTACAACCGTGATGCGGGCAGGGCCACCCTCCCTTCGAAGGTGCTGGGCAATGGTGTGTCCCAGGGTGTCTTCCAGTTCTGGTGGTTTGTGGGCCATGTCTGGCCTTCCTTGGCTTGTGGACACATCACCTCAATCTCTGCCTCCATCTTCACGTGATGTTCTCCCTGTGTATGCATCTCTGCATCGGATTAGGGTCCACGCTAGTGACCTCAATTTAATTTGATCACCTGCAAAGATCCTATCTCCAAATTAGGTCACATTCTGGGGTACCGGGGGTTGGGGCTTCAATTCAACTCATAACAGAAAGGATTGAGAGGAGACCCCGCTGGGGTGGGAGGTGGGGAGTCGGCCTTTTAAAAAAAAGCTATTGCTATTAGCCAGAAAGAAGAGCGAGGGAGGAAGCCAGTGGAGAGAAGAGGTGAGTGGCCTTGGTGGCACCTGCCACCCCCTCCAGTGAGGAGGCCACTGCCTTGTCTGCCTGGCCCCTACCCAACCCGCAGCCCTGCCCTCCTGAGATCCAGGTGAACTCTTTTGGCCTCAATATGAACAATCTATTTCTCTGTAGTTGGTCAAAAACAAGGGGTGGGGGAAGAGGAGAACCAAAATGGAGAAGAATTAGAGACGCGCCCTCACAGTGGATATCATGAAACTGATTGCTTGGTGTGCATGGGGGCCTCACCCCCAGTACTGTCCCAGGCCTGGTCCCCTCTGTCCCCTCAGCCCTGCCCCAGCCCTGCAGTCTAGAGCTTCCTTCTCACTCCACCCTCTCCCCACCTGTCGGGAATCAGTGGTGTCAGGGCCTTCAGGGGAGGAAGGGGTGAAGATGCTGACCTTGAACCCTTGGACTCCTGTATTTGTCCTGATTTACCAGCAGGAGCCAGGCACAGGCTAGGACAGGGATGGGCCGGTTCCATTTTTGCCATAAGGACCACTGGTTCTGGGACCTTCTTGGTCTCGTTGCACTGCTTTTCCTCCTCATCCTTGGCGCAGCTCTGGCCTAGGTGGCTGACCCTGGCCACCAGCGCTTCACAAATTGGGTGACTTCAGGCAACTAGTAGTGCCGAGATGCCGAGATGACGGGCCCAAGACCTCTCATCGAGGTCTAGGCTGGACTGGTTACATAATTTGTAGGGCCCAGTGCAAAATAAACATGTAGGACCCTTTGTTCCAAGATTATTAAGAATTTCCAGAAAAAGACAAGGACAAGAAGGCTCAGCATCTAGGCAATTGAGTGAAAACAAATCAGATTTTTAAAATCAATTTTTAAAAATCGATCAAAAAATACATTCCCACTAATATTTCTTTAAGCATTTCTGTCTGTTTTTCAGAATGAGGAATTGGTTGAAAGGGGGAGGGCTTTCTTCTACTGTTTTGCTTTGTACATTTCTTTAATCATATTTTTCAACTTCTTACTTTGCAAAATGCCAACCTTAAAAGAGAATAGATTTAAATAGATTTTTAAATTTCTGAAACATTTTCCGTGATTCCATAATTTTTATGTGCTTGACTCCAGCTCTAAGCAAACAATTGTCGGAAACCAATGGACAGAAAACAAATACTGCCAACTACCAGCTGGTCTTTCTTCCACCTTTCGTACACCCTAGGAAGACTTAACCAAGTTTATGTTTTGTTTTTAAAGCAATCTTATCTGCCCTTGGGCTTATTTGGTTTTTAATTATTTTTGAAACAAAAATATAACTACTAGTATTTATGTTTTGTCTTTTCATTATTGAAAGATAATAAAAAGTCTGTTAATTTACCTCATTCTGGTGTGGATTAAGGGTAGTGATTGAGTGGGGAGGCTGGTTAGGAGGAGGGCAGAGGTCGCACACATATCACAAACTGGGTGGCTTAAACAACGGAAATGTATTATTGTCTCACCATTCTGGAGGCTGGAAGTTCAAGATCAAGGTGTCAGCAGGGTTGGTTCCTCCTGAGGACTGAGAAGGAAAGTCTGTTCCATACTTCTCGCCAGCTTCTGGTGGTTTGCAGGCAATCTTTGGCATTGCTTGGCATGCAGAAGCCCTCATCTTCTTTTTCTCCCCTCTTCTTTCTCCTTTTTCTTTTAAGAATAAAAAGGTGCGCTGGCTAGAGTCTGCAGTCCAATGTTGAACAGAATTGGTGAGAGCAGACATCCCCCTCTTGCTCCTGATCTTGGGGGGAAACCTTCAGTTTTTTAACATTAAGTGCTGTTGTAGTATTTTCATAGATGCTCTTTCTTGGGTTGAAGAAGTTCCCTTCTGTTCCTAGTTTGCTGACATTTTTGATCAAAAATTGATATTTGATCAGGAATTGATTTTTTCAAGTGCTTTTACCTATGTCTATTGACATGTTCATATGGTTTTTCTTTTTTAGTTTGTTAATATGGTGAATAAAATTGATTGACTCTTAAATGTTAAACCAATGGTACATTCCTAGAATAAACCTCACTTGGCTGTGATGTGTTAGCCTTTTAATGTATTGTTAAATTTAATTTTCTAAAATTATGTTTAGAGTTTTTGTATCTATGGTCATAAAAGATTTGGTCTGTGGTTTTATTTCTAGTAATATCTTTGTCTCGTTTTTATATCAAAGTAGTGCTGGCTTTCTAGGATAAACTGAGTAGTATTCCCTCCTCTTCAATTTTTGGAAGGATTTATATAGAATTTGGTATCATTTCTTCCATAACTATTTGGCAGAATTAACCAATGAAGTTGTCTGGCCTAGAGTTTTCTTTGTGGGAAGGTTTTTTTTTTTTTGAGACAGAGTCTCACTGTGTTGCCTGGGCTAGAGTGCCGTGGCGTCATCCTAGCTCACAGCAACCTCAAACTCCTGGGCTC